GTTCTTGATAATTGAGTTGTAGCCATGTTTAGAGCTTGCATTTTGTATTACATTATCCTGTATGTTTGTAATTTATATGTACGAAAATATTATTGTCAATAGAAGTATTTTGTAATAACAAATAACAACAAATATAACTACATGAACTACCCCAACATATTATCACTACACATGGTGATTATTTTTCTTGTTGAACTATCAGGTTAATTTTTAACTTTTTACATATTAAAACAGTTGAATCATGACAGGATCTGCAGAAGACCTTGCATGACAACATGGGGTCAGACTTAATCCCAACAAAAAAGACAAAATTATTTGTAATTACTGCCAAAGAGTGATAAGTAGTGGGGTACATAGGTTCAAGCAACACTTGGTAGGGGTTAAGGGAGATGTTTCTGCATACAGTAGTGTTCCTAATAATGTAAAAAAACAGATGGCGACATTTCTTAATACTAACAAAGGTAAAAAAATTGTCAAACATAGGATGAATGAGAAGATAGTAGTTTATATACGCCATCAAGCATGAATGATACAGAAGAGCAATATAATAATGACTTAAAAGAGCAATATAATAATGACCTGAACATGGCCACAAGAATGAATTTATATGAACAATATCAGAGGGAACGTGGGTTTAGAATGCCCGGTGGGTCTAGCTCATACATGCATGATGGGTCTAACTCAAACATGTATGGCGGGCCCAGCTTAGATATGCATGGCGGGCCCAAGTCGAGCATGTATGGCGGACCCAGCTCAAATATATATGGAGGGGTTGGTGGCAGTATGTATCAACAAGAATCAAACGTTGAAGAAATAGTTCCTAACTTATCTAGGAGTGCCAGTATTATAGGTCATAGTCGTATAGACCCATTTCTCTCAAAGCCTAAGTTATAACAGATGACTCTAAAAGGCATGGTTAAAGGTACAAGAAACATGTTGGGGAAATATGTTGGTAAATGGTTCTACGATAAAGGGATTCCCTTTGATGCAGCCAATAACCCATATTTTCCACCTATGGTCAGTGCAATCCAGAGAGCCGATCCCAGGGTAAAACCCCCGACTGCATATGAGCTCAATGGGCCAATATTAGATGAAGAGGTGGAGGAAGTTACAAAGTAGATTGAAGAATATAAACATAGTTGGCCAAAGACAGGCATTACTCTCATGAGTGATGGTTGGTTGAATAAAGTTAGCAAAAATGAGTTTTTAAACTTCCTGGTCTATTTCTCAAAAGGTACAGCTTTTTTGTCTAGCAAAAACGTATCAAGAACGAAGAACAATGCAAACTTCTATGTACGACTATATGATCAGATAGTGGAGGAGGTAAGAGATAAGCATGTAGTCCAGTTTATTACGGACAATGCGCGTGCATGTGTTTCTGCGGGCAGCAAGTTGATGGAG